AAGGTGTGTACACATTGTGGTAGACTCAACCATACTGTGGAGACTTGCTATCAAATTCATGGCTATCCTCCAGGATACAGAACATCCAATTTGAAACCTCGCAATGCAGCCAATTATGCTCAACTTGGTGATTCTGAACATAGAACAGCTAATGATACTCAAGCTGGACTCACTATCTCACAGGAGCAGTATCAACAGCTTATTGATATGTTACATGGCCAACATTTACATTCATCTACCGGTGAAGAAGTCACTCATTCAACTAATTTGGTTCAAGCTGTAGCCATGAACTCAAACTCTCTCCTTCCTTTAAACAATAACCAACCAGGTAATACATCTGTCCATTGGCTTCTTGACACTGGGGCCACAGATCATATTTGTCCAATACTTTCACAATTCTCTTCCACACATAAAATTTCACCTATATCCATTATGTTGCCAAATGGAACACGTGTGGTAACTACCCTTTCTGGTTCTGTACATTTGTCTGATTCTCTCACATTATTAGATGTGCTTTATATTCCCGAATTTAAAGTCAATTTAATCTCTGTATCCAAACTTGTGTCAGTTATTCCATGTTATCTGACTTTTCATAAATTCCATTGCTACATTAAACAGGCCAACACCAAGTGGACGATTAGTATAGCTGAGGCAAGGGAGGGGCTGTATGTGCTAATCAAGGAGCAAGCAAGCCATATTGTTCAAAATAAATCAGAGTATTCTCATAATGGGATGCATACAGTTTTTACTGTTTCTGATCAAAACAATGCAAGACTTTGGCATTCCCGTTTAGGACACCTTTCTTTTCCAATTCTGAAACAGATGTCCATTAAGTTTCCCTTTATTCCTTGTGCTGATGTAAAACCCTGTGATATTTGCCATATATCCAAACAACGCAAGTTACCTTTTTCTTCCAGTAATACAAATTCTAAAGCAATTTTTGATATGCTTCATGCTGACATTTGGGGACCATATGGTATCCCTTCAATTCGTGGACATAGATATTTCCTCACTCTTGTAGATGATTTCTCACGTTTTGTGTGGATTATTCTACTAAAATCTAAGGCAGAAGTCAGACAAAATCTGCATAATTTCATTGCTTACATAGAGACTCAGTTTAATACCAAACTCAAAGTCCTTCGAAGTGATAATGGACTTGAGTTCATCATGCCTGAATTTTACCAAAAGAAAGGGATTATCCATCAAAAGAGTTGTGTGGAAACTCCACAACAGAATGGAAGAGTTGAGAGGAAACATCAACATCTCTTGAATGTAGCTAGAGCATTTTATTTCCAAGCACAACTGCCTCCAAAATTATGGTGCTATGCAATTGCCCATGCAGCTCACATTATCAACCGATTGAGTACCCCTTTATTACAACATAAGTCTTCTTATGAGATCCTATATAACATGCCACCAACCTTACTGCACCTCAAAACCTTTGGCTGCCTAGCCTATGCCAGTACCCTTTCTTCCCAACGACACAAGTTCTCCCCAAGATCTCGAAAATGTGCTTTCATTGGTTACCAAGAAGGTGTTAAGGAATATATTTTGTATGATCTAATCTCACGGGAAATTTTTACTTCACGCCATGTGATTTTTTATGAAAATTTATTCCCTTTTCATGTTAAGAGCAACAGTGAACCAAACCAACCATCTGATCCAATTTCAAATCCACCCTATCTTGACACCTTACCTCCATTACCTTTTGAAGCCAACCCATCACCCACTACTGATGCTCTTCATCCACCTGCCACTGATACCTCTTCCCTTCCTACCAACTCTGCCATTGACTCATCAGTGCCTTTAACAGTTGAGTCACGTCGCTCTGGTCGCATTAAAGCTGCTCCACGCTATCTACAGGATTTTCACTGCAGCCTCTCTACTACATCAGCTTTTCAATCTTCCTCAGGTACCACCAATTCTCCTTTATCTCAATTTTTGTCTTATAAAAATTGCTCTCCCACATATACTCGTTTTTGTCTCAACACATTCACCCATGTTGAACCACGATCATATGCTCAAGCCAGTAAATATGAGCATTGGCAAAAGGCTATGAGAGATGAAATTTCTGCCTTAGAGCAAAATGAAACATGGATACTTGTTGACAAACCAGTAGATAAACATGTGGTTGGATGCAAATAGGTCTACAAAATAAAACATCATGCTGATGGTACAATTGAAAGGTATAAGGCACGGCTCGTTGCCAAAGGGTACACGCAAATGGAAGGCGTTGATTTCTTCGATACATTCTCACCGGTTGCCAAAATGACTACTGTCCGTGTATTACTGAGCCTTGCTGCAGTTCGCGGTTGGCACTTAGTTCAACTGGATGTTAACAATGCCTTCTTACATGGCGATCTTCATGAAGAAGTATACATGGCATTGCCTGAGGGCTTCTCCTCTTCTCATTCGCCTCAAGTATGCAAGTTGCAGAAATCATTATATGGGAGAAGAGAAGAGAAGAGAAGAGAAGAGAAGCCACAATAGAAGTGTTGAAATGATATGTTACCACAAAAAAAAAAGTATTCAAATGATTACTGGATGCAATCCAACGAAGGTTTGGATTATCTTCATGAATAATTTATAAGGGAAAAGATATTCTAACAATCAATTAAGATTATTATCAATTAATTTTATCATTAAATCACTTATGATAATTCAACGGTTATATTCATTTTCACCTTTGTATAATTATGATTTCTCATATTTAACACTTTATATTTATTTTTATCATTAACAATCCGACGCGGCTTTAACCCCTCTAATGGTTAGTGTTGCTAACTGCTAAGCCTCTCCTTCCAACCTCTAAATTATTCCATAAAAATTTAGCAACAGATTGTGAAATTTTAAAAATGTAGAAGTTTTACTTTATTTTTAACAATTATAAATCCTAGTTAAAAAACCACCTTTAAACACAACTAAAAAAATTAATATGACTTACATTAATGATTCTTCAAATTTAAGATTAACTGTTTTTACTTATAAAAATTAGTTAGTGTACAGCTTAATATTTTACAACAAATTTGAGAATTGTTTTTAACATAATGGTAATATTGAGGTTTGAACTTACGTATAACACAAAAAATTTGTATTCGAGTCAATCCCTTTTCAAATTTGTGTTGTGTTTGTATTTTAAAAAATTAATACGGAATTTTTTTTTCCTTCAAACACAAAATTGACCAGTGCTAATTTTGTTATACATTATTCGTATCGCGTTGTGTCAACAAGATATTGGTGAAAATAACATGCAATACACATGTTATTTGTCATATAATAATAAACTCACTTTGAGGTTAGCTAGTTATTTGTATCGTGTTGTGTGAACTTGTAAATGTGTCAAGTTCGTGTTGAAAATTTCAACTCATTTAAATTTGTGTAGCGGTTGTGTTTAATGTATTTATGTTCATGTTGAATTTGTATAATATCATATCCACCAAAATTACTAACCCTAATCACATGCAAATTACCTAAAAATTGTCACCCCTATCTCAAAACGATATTGGCTTAGGTTAAAAGAAAATAAATTATAATTATAAAAATTAATATAATCTTATAATAATTTAAAATTACAAAAGTATATTTATCTCAAATTCAGAACAAAGTTATTTAGGAATGGAGATAACTGATAAGTTATCTCTTGTGGTAGGAAAAATATTTAACTATATATAAAGAGAGCATATTATTATTACATTAATGTACGAATAAGAAATTTTATATCAAATTTTGATCATTAATTTACTTGTATTTAATCGTTCATATATTTTATAAATCAAAACCATTAAATATGAATGACGGCAAATATTAATAGTATAATCATGACTCATATACCTATTGATGTTTCTCCGAATAGGGATAATATATATATATATATATATATATATATATATATATATATATATATATATATATATATAGGGTCAGGATCATTTTACACCAGTGTAAGTTACACTTTCAATCTTATCCGTTGATTCCATTTATATCTAACGGCTAAATTTTTTTAGTAATGTGAGCCATTGGATACAAGTGGATCAATGGTCAAGATTGAGTGTAAGACTTCTAACTCTTACACCGGTGTAAGAATATCCTGTATATATATATATATATATATATATATATATATATATATATATATATATATATATATATATATATATATATATATATATATATATATATATATATATAGAGGGAAAATCACTTCTCCTTTGAAAGAAGAAGAAACTTCTTCTACCGCTGAGTGCTTGAAAGTTATGCCTTGTTTTTTTTTTTCTATTTTAAAAAGTGTGACTCCCACTTTTGGTTGTGTCTGCTGCAAAGTCATGAGTTCTACTGTGAAAGAAGAGATGTAAAGCTCATATATATATATATATATATATATATATATATATATATAATATTTTTATAGTGAATATTTATATTTATTCTCAAAATAAATTATTTTAGATTAAAAGATTATACTAAGAAAAACAATTAAAGCCTTATAATAAGGGAGAAAGGTGTGTCATTTTAAATGACACACCTTATATCCTTTCACTCTTATAAAGAAGTGAGACTCACACCTTTAAAACTTTTTCCATCTATTCTCTCTCTCATGATTTATCTCTTTCTCTCACTTAAAATGACACAATTTTATGTTCTTTAAAATGATACACATTTTTTCCTTATAATAAAGGATTTCGATTTTCTTACGTGGTAGGAGAAATTTTTTTCATGTTGTAGACACATCTTATGTGAGACTCACATCTATTAAAAAATAAAAAAATAAAAAAAAATATTGCACGAAAATCGAAAAGTAACTAATAAGAGAAAACAAGTCTCCTACGACATGAGAAAATCGTAATAAATTATAATTATAAAAACATTTTGATTTATGTGGAATTAACCGAAAAAAACGAATCACGTGGATGGATCTCGCTTTCTGTTTCTATCTGTGTTGCGGGGATAAGGTTATTTATATTTCCACGAGAAACATTAATCTTAACATTCAACAAATGGACAAGCACACGACCTCGTAAACTCAATCATCTTCATCCCTCTCTCTGTCTCTCTCTCTATATATATATTAGGTAAGATAGCCATAGGTGATCATCGATCACTCACTCTTTTACAAAATCGAAATCGGATATGACGAGGGACACATCTAACCTTGTACCGAAACTCACCCCAGCTCATCAACACTTCAACCTTCAATCTCTCATTCGCTATTGTTCTTCCAACATTTCTGCCTTCCCTCACTCCCCTACTCATTTCACCGTCTCCCAGGTTCCATCTTTTCCCTTTTTCTCTTTCTGGGTCATCTTCTATTGCATCAAAATTCCCTTTTTTTTTTATATATATATTTGACTCTTGTGGTGAATTGTTCTAGTTTGGGCATGGACAATCCAACCCCACGTACTTGATGGAAGTGGGCTCACAAGGCTCTCAGGTGAAACGCTATGTTCTGAGGAAGAAACCTCCTGGGACATTGCTCGCTTCAGCTCATGCCGTCGACAGAGAGTTTCAGGTTTCTTCAATTCATTGATGAATATTGAATGCCCATTTGTTTTGGATTTGAAAATTTTGATTGTGCAGATTAGTTTTTGCAGTGAATCAAATTGATAGTTATGAACACAATGTGTTATGAGAAGGGGAAAAAAAAAATGATTCCTTTTTTCTTGTCTTTCCCCTTTTAACTCAACAGGTTCTCCAGGCGTTAGGCACTCATACTCAAGTTCCGGTTCCTAAAGTTTTCTGTTTGTGCAATGATCCAACTGTTATTGGAACAGCATTTTATATCATGGAATATTTGGAGGGACGCATATTTACTGACCCCAAGCTACCAGTATGATTTTTCTATCACTTTTCTCAAACTAAATTTAGTGGATTGCTGAAGTGTGTTATATAAATGTGTCAGGGTGTGGCACCAGAGAGGAGGAGAGCAATTTACCGGGAAACTGCTAAAACCTTAGCTTCCTTACATTCTGCTAATGTGGACTCCATTGGTCTGGGAAAATTTGGGCGCCGTAATGATTATTGCAAAAGACAGGTAAATTACTTTAAATGAATTTCAGTTGAACTGTATGCTTGTTTATGGTCATGGTTATGCCTTGAAAATGATTTTTTTTTTTTTCCGAAGAGATATATATTGTATGAGGATAGAAAGGAGTGCCATTTGACTGTGTGATGAACCTTGTATCACTGTATAGGTCTATAGAAAAGTTGAACACGGATGCATTAACCAGTTATTACAGTACAATAAAATTTGTGAAAGTTATTTTTGTGGAGACCTTGAAAAGTTTGAATCTTCCATCAGGTTGCCCAGGATCAATCCTGGGTTACGGGTGCTTATCCCTTTCCTCATGCCCATTTCTTGGCACCATTCCCCTCTCTCCTATCCCCTCCCATGCTATTGTACCAGGTCACAAAAGAAGGGTTAGGATCGAATTAGTTTTATTTTGCCAACATTATAGCAGTAATGGATATATATTTTTTTATTTTTTTTTAGATTGAGAGGTGGGCTAAGCAATATGTTGCCTCAACCAGTGAGGGTAAACCTGCAAGAAATCAAAAAATGTTTGCCTTGGTTGATTGGCTACAGCATCGAATCCCTTCTGAAGATTCTTCAGGAGCTACAGCAGGTCTGGTTCATGGAGATTTTCGCATTGACAATCTTGTGTTCCATCCCACAGAGGTAAGATGCGTATAGTAAGAGTATACACTTTCCTTCCATTGGATTAAAAAGAAGTCCTTTTTCTTTGTTCCGGTATTAATGCATATATATTTTATCTGTTCATGGTCAAAATTAGAGTATCATAACCATCGTGCTAAAAGAAATAGAAATTTATGTTGTCATGTATAGATTACTCTGGAATCTGGAAAGTGTCAAGATTAGCATTTAGGATTTATAAAAATTCATTGGCATCTTAGAATCCAGGTCTTATGCCTGATAAGATTTCTTTCTACTGCAGGATCAGGTAATTGGCATACTTGACTGGGAACTCTCTACCCTTGGTAACCAAATGTGTGATGTTGCATATAGCTGTCTGGTATGTACTACACTATTCTGAGTCAAGACTTTGGCAAATAAAGATGTATTTGTTATATTCAACTGCATACTTGTTTATAAAATCTTGATGGTTAGTATTTTCATTTATTCATGGCTTTTCTTTTTCTTTGGCAGCCTTATATTGCAGATATTGGGCATGAAAAAATACAGGAAGGTATGGAACGTTCGGGATTACCAGAGGGAATTCCTTCACTACCAGAGTATTTGGCTGAATACTGCTCTCTGGCAGTAAGTGCTGTAACTATATATGCTCAATTTGGATTTTTGTATCACCTATGAGGTATGCTGGTATAGATCAACGAAGTTTATTTATTGCCTTTGCCTGAAGACACAATCTTGTTAGGGATTGGAAACTCCATTAGGCATGTGATGGAATTTAGATTCAAATAAAATTAGCAACAATTTAAAATTCCTAATCCATTTAATTCTAATTACAACATGCACAATAATATCTATCTAGAATAGGGTTTCCTAGAAAAGGATGAAGATGTAGCAGCCAGCCATAATTAATCCTGAAAGCAATCATGAACAAGGATTTGTGTGTGTGGAGTGAAGGAGAGAAACTGTCCCCATTCTGTATATATGTCGAAGATCACACAGGCACGATGGGGAAACCATGGTAAATATATGGGATTAAAAAATCCAACAGCATGTTCAACAATAACTAGCTAATCTCATAACTAGATGATTTGGATCATATATTTGTTTTGCTAGAAACTTGATGGTCATGAACATTGGCTAGGGATGCTTTTGGCATATCTCTAACATTTGTATGATATGTTGATCTACTGTGTTGTCCTGTAGTTAAATTTTGCAATCTATATACATCTTCCAGCATCTAGAAATGGTCAAGTGAAATAGTGGTTGATTTATATCCTATCTTTGCCTATACTAAAGAATTCTAACAAAGGGGTTTTGGATGCCAGGGAAGAAAATGGCCTGCTGCTGAGTGGAAGTTCTATGTTGCCTTTTCTTTCTTCCGTGGGGCTTCAATTTATGCAGGAGTGTATAATAGATGGGTTAAGGTATCTAAACTTGTTAGAGACATGTTTCCATTGGAGTTTAAGATTAAATAATTTGTAGCTCTTTTGTGTGCAATCTAGGGTAATGCATCAGGAGGTGAACGCGCACGACACACAGAAGTACTTGCTAACGGTCTTATAGATACTGCTTGGGAATTTATTGAACACAAATCTGTGCTTCCTCAACATCCTCCCTCTGGTAGCTATACCATGGGCTCTTACATGCAATTTAGCTCACATAATTTGTTACTTTACCCTATGCTAATCATATTACTAGATTATTAGTATTACACTAATAGCTGAGGCATTTTACTCTTATCAAATCAGATGCAAATGCAAAAGACTATTCAAAAGAGTTAGTGCATGGGAATGATATGCAGGGCCTCTCAAATCAGGGGAAGTTTGTTCCTAGTCAAAAGGTTTTGACGCTGAGGAACAAATTAATTAAGTTCATGGAGGAACATATATACCCCATGGAAAATGAATTTTATAAACTTGCCCAGTCAGAATTGCGATGGACTATTCACCCAGCAGAGGAAAAGTTAAAGGAGATAGCAAAGAAAGAAGGCTTGTGGAACTTATTTATTCCGGTATGCATCTTTATCCTGCTCTTCTGTAGTATATTTTATCTTTATTACGTGATTTCAGAAGCTTTTATCATCCTTCTATCAGGTTTTGATATATTACAGCTTTCTCCATATCTTCACCGATAGGCTTGAATTTATTTGTTATAGACCTTGGTACTTGGTATAAAAGGGTTTTCACCATTTTCAATATTTTCTTGCCGAAGTTCACACTATTATGCAATAGATTCTACAATTTAAACAAATACATTATGACCCACTATTCTAGTGAAATATTATTGAGAATGAATTGAAGGTTTCCAATGTGAAGTATTCGACCTTATATGAGATTCATGACTTTAGTATGTGTTTAGAGAGAATGAGAGATTATTGCATATATACTCAAGCTTTGTGAGTTGTACAGTGAAATATTAGAATGCCAATGTAGAAGTTCCAAAATTGGGGATTGTTATGCGTTAAAATTATGGGGCTTGTGCAGAGAAAAAGGAAAAGTCAACGTGAATTCTCTATAAAAGAATATTATATTGATACAGTTTGTAATGTGATACAAAATACTAACTCAATGGTCTTCTTTATACAAATAATTAGGTCAAATTCTAGAGTAGTATTACTAATACAAAGCCCTAATAAAATAAGGGAGTGAATCAAGAAAGATAATGAATAGGAAATAACTCCTAATATTGCGTCCTCAATTGGATGACTAATTAATTCCGCAATACATTCTAAAGTTCATGTAAGATATTCTAAATATTAAAAGATACAACTAAAATATTATGAGATATTTTGTAGATATTCTAACACTCTTGCTAAGTTCTAAGCTTGTTAAAAATGAATATTTTAAAAAGAAAATAACAAAAATATAAAGTGGGCTCCATAAAAGCATGTCTGGAAAAAGGGGGAAAAGCCTCATGGATGTTAGAGATGCCATAGAGATGAGCATTCCTAAAAAGGTAACTCATCAAGACGACAAACAATGTCATATCCTAAAGAGCTAGTTGAAATATTACATGGCCAAATAAGAAAATACTTCATCGAAATGAAGCTTAGTGAAAATTTCCTAGCAAGCAATTATTTACATCGACGAGTAAAACTTCTCCAAATTCAAAAACAGTATTTGGAAAGCTTTGAACAACAAGAAAACTTAGGTGACCCAATAAACTTGGAAATTAAATTTGGGAATCAAATTAAGGGACTAGTGACTCATCATTGGAACGTCAACAAGAAGAGAAGTCGCCACTAAAATGATTCATTTGTGGGAAAGAAATCACCACCATAATAAAAATATAAGTTGGGTTTGGATCATCATTCTCAATCTCCCCCTCAACGCTATTTGAGCATTGGAAGACCAACAATTATACCATTTGAGGGAAGAGATTTAGCTAAGATGAAGACTTATTAAGAGCAAAGTGAGGGTGAGATTTGGAGCGAGTGGTAAGGTTGCTTCTTTATAACCGTGAAGGTCACGGGTTCGAGTCTAGGAAATAACCTCTTTTCAAAAATGCAAAGGTTAAGGCTGTTAGGTAAGTGGCTTCAATACTCAAGAGGAGGGTGAATTGAGTTTTATAAAATCTTTTCGCAAAATGCCTCCTTTGATATTTTGAACAGTATTTCTTCAATCAATTGATTTAACACAAATAATTCTAGGTGAAAGTAATAGTGTATGAGCAATAAATATGAACTAAAAAGTAGACAAACACAATCTAATAGTGCAATTTCAAGTTAAATATAAGGAGTTCAAGGTTAGAGAAATTGCAAACTAGATGTATCCTGGTTCGGTTACCATCATCGTGACCTACGTTCAGATTGAAGCCGCTCGATCAACCTTTTTCACTAACTATCAAGCTTCAAGGGTGCTTGATAAACCACTACAATCTTTCAAGACTTCGGGCTCTTGGTGCCTTACAACTTTCAATCAAAATTTACTTAGGAATTTGGTAACCTCTCAAATACAAAGGGGTTTCACTACCCTCAACTCAAGTATTCAGTGGATGAGTGTTTAGAAATGAATAAGTACTCTTAAAGTACAAATTAACAAGTTGAAGCTTATAGGTATTGATGGATATCACAAGAAAAGAGCTCAAAGAGGTTTTATGATCAAGATATGTAAGAATGAGTAGATGATGTGTTTGATTTAAGGAAAATAATCAAGAATGATTGTATATTCAATAAAACAGTAACTTCTTCTCATTTGAGGCGTAACAAATGAGTATTTATAAGTGTTGGATCAAAACTAGCCGTTTATAGCCATTAGAATACTTACTGTCCAGTAAGTATTCTAATACTTTTCAATAAGTAATCGAATACTTTTATTTCCAGAAAAGTATTCGAATACTTTTCTATAAGTATTCGATTACTTTTGTTCTCAGCACAGGTATTCGAATACTTGTCAAGAAAGTATTCGAATACTTTCTTGACAGCTAGTAAAATGCAGTCTTTTAAGAGTTCAAAAGCACTCCAACTTGCCTCCAATCACTTTTTATGTAAATCCTTGACTTAATGAAAATGTTTTAAAGTTATAAACCAGGTCAAGGATGTTTTTAATGAGATTTTCAAATATCTTTGTAGTGTTTTAAAGACGTTGACAATGCATGTATAAAGATAGGTATACTTTAAGCTCATTCATGCAATTTTAGTCAATTACCTTTACATTCAAGTCTAAGTCCTATAGATGTACTACTTGTAGGTTCTAGGACTTAGGTACTTCCGTTGTAGTTTGATTCTTGATCTCTCTTTGGACTTGGTTATGTGTCTTGATGGTTTTGTATCCATTGACTTGTTGAATTGCTTCCTTAGACTTCTTTTTGATTGTTGTGAGTTATATCACTCTTGAAGTCTTTTCCAAACTTGTTTGTTATCATCAAAACTCTTGTATTATTGAAATCTTCATTTTGAGTACATTTGTTCCACAAAAGCTACATACAGTTGACTCTCACCTCTATCTTCGCAAAGTTGGGTAGCCTTTGTGCAGTAGGTTTGTTGTCAGACTGAGAAAAGAAGGGAAAAGGTTGCCAAAAAGTGAAATACAACAAAACAATAGTCGGTAGAAAGAAAAACTAGACTTTTATTGATATAATTGGTGCACGGCCAACCAACTGAAAGAAAAGAATCATGGAGATAAAGTCACCAATGTAGTGGGGTCCAGATTTTAGGGAATTTTACAATGGAATAATCATGAGATCGGGTCATAGATGATGATAACGATCTAATACCATGGTGAAATATAGACTCTAAATAATATTTTCTTAGATTGATATGGTGTATATTGATGTGGTGTGATATAAAAGACAAACTACTATCCCCTATTTATGCTGGTAAAATACTAGACTTCTAATCCTAATCAAATAACGGAACAAAAAACTTGTTAAAGAAATGATTAATTCCCTAAGAATAAGATAAGATTCCAAAAAAAAAGAAAAGAAAGAAAGATATGACCCCTAGAAATTGGGTAACATAAATATTCTTAAAATGACAATATAAATTACCCAAATCTATTATGCATCATTTTCTTGCTCTAAGATATTTTGTAGATATTCTAACATTGTGTTAAATTAAAATGCAATATGAAGATGGTCAGTTGCCTTTGGAGAAGGGCAGAGGGTAAAATGGCAGAATATAAAAGTATGTACAAGATTTTAGTACAGAAATTCTTGAAATATAAAAAAGTAAGATGATGATTTTAATAGAGCTGAGATTTGGCATTTGTGGTCTATGATGACTTTTTGACTTCTTCTCTTATTACCTCTCAATGGTACTATATTTTTTGAGAATAAAGTCCTGTTAATATCTCTGTTTTTATGCAGCTTGATAGTGCTGCGAGGGCAAAAAATCTTATTTTTGATGGGAGCAATAATGATCTCCCTAGTGATGCAAATGACTTGTTATTGGGTGCTGGTCTCACAAATCTCGAATATGGATACCTTTGTGAGATCATGGGTCGTTCTGTTTGGGCTCCACAAGTGTTTAACTGTGGTGCACCTGACACAGGTAATATGGAGGTAAGATGGAACTTATATATTTGCAGGATTGATCAATAATTGACTGACTTTAATTGGATTCTCTCCTGGGTTGAGAAGATTCTGCACTTCTCTCTACCTATGTTGCACTTTTTGTCTGATCTTGTTGTAACATTACATATTAGGTATTACTGCGCTATGGAAATAAAGAACAAATGCGAGAATGGCTTATTCCTTTGCTTGAGGGGAAGATTAGGTCTGGATTTGCAATGACAGAACCACGTATTGCATCTTCTGATGCAACCAATATTGAGTGTTCTATCAAAAGGTAGGATTACCAATAATCTTAAAGTAATTCTTTAGTTCACCCTTTCCATTTAGCTGATGTAAGTGCGTTGGAAAATTAATTAAAATCATAGGTTTCAGTCAAGCTTCTTGATAGAAACAAATAGAAATTTATGAGGCTATGGACTATTATTTTCTTAATTTTTCTTCGTGTGTAGGCAAGGAGATTCATATATTATCAATGGGACAAAATGGTGGACCAGCGGTGCTATGGATCCGAGATGCAGAATTCTTATAGTCATGGTGAGTATTTAGTTGAAACTTTTTGCATCAAGAGTCCATGTGCTATTCATGTCAATAAAGATTAGAGAGTGATCAAATCATGTACACAGGGGAAAACTGACTTCAATGCAGCAACGCATAAACAGCAATCTATGATCTTAGTGGATATCCAGACTCCTGGTGTTCACGTAAAGAGACCATTGATGGTATTTGGCTTTGATGATGCACCTCACGGGCATGCAGAAGTAACATTTGAAAATGTTTGTGTGCCAGCAAAAAATATCTTACTGGGTGAAGGACGTGGATTTGAGATCGCTCAAGTAAGTTGAAAAATATTTCCCTTGGATTGAATACTAGCTTGTGATGTTGGTTTGAACTCTGTTATCCACTAACTCGGGCACATTTTGTACAATTGAGTTTCAACTATGCTTAAAAGCTTGAGGAGCTCTTCAACTTTTATGTGTCAATTCCTCCCATGGTTTAATCTGCTTAAAGTATCAATTCTACTGATTTTTTTTTTTTTTTTATCAAGTATTGTTCATAATTTTCGAACCAGTCAAAGTCCCCAAAATGAGCAAGTTGATATAGTTTTAAGGCTTGAAACACTGTAGGTCTCCTTATGTTGTTGAGATGTTTAAAGTACCGAAAAGTGTATTTTTCATTTGCTGCTAACTTGCACACTTGCAGGGTAGGCTAGGTCCAGGAAGGCTGCACCATTGTATGAGACTGATAGGTGCTGCTGAGCGAGGCATGTATATGATGGCTCAAAGAGCTGTTAGCAGAAGAGTATTTGGGAAGTTGATCGCTGAACAGGGTTCATTTCTTTCAGATATGGCTAAGGTATTCGGATTGAACAAGCATCACACTTTTATCCATGGGATTGGGTGAGGGAAAAAAAAAACATTTACCTAGGGGGTGTTTGGTAGGAGTTTTTTCTCAAGATACCCAGGCATTTAGAATGGTATTTTAGGTGGTGTTTGGTTGGGAGCTTTTCAGCGGATATCTATGTTTCTCAAGTATGGCTTTTAGAAACACTATATTTGTTTCAACGTATTTTCACCAAAAACCCATCTATCCAATTTGTATGGATTTATGAGAAACATAGATATCCGCACTGTTTAGAAACCCAATTTGAAGGTGGGATTTTTCGAAAAACCGGTTATCTGGCTTTTAATGGACTGTTGATTTCATAAAGTTACCTAATTTTTCCAGTAAAATTTTTCCCCACCAAACAACTTTTTTTTACATTTTTCTACCTATCTCACTTTATCTATCTTTCCAATCATTTCTCTATCTATCTCATTTCTCTACTATTCCAAAAAAATTTCCTCAATCAAACGCCCCCTTAAGTTGTCCATATTTGGTACAAGTTTTTAAAAAATTCACCCAGTAAACTGATTTGTCCATCATTTCTCGCTTCTTTGAAAATTGTGATGAAAAACACGGTTTAAGAATACTACTTCGAAAATGGTATTTTGAGATTACTGGCAAAATGGAAAAAGGAGCTTGAAGTAGATGACGGAAAATGACCCTCTTCTAACCCTATTCGTGTACTGTGCAATATTATTTAGTCAAGAGTTGCTTTCGTAATTTCACCCCATTTTCCCAACAATATTTTACCTTCAACCAAACATAGACTCAGGAAACTTAAACCAATTTCCTCAGTAATATTTCGGCCTACTAAACAACTTTTTTCTAACTTTCTTAGAAAACTCATTTTCCCACCATATTCCCAGTAATTATAATTTCATGGTAAAAACAAATTTCTCCTCTACCAAGCGCCCCCTATAAAAAGTGTCAAAAACAGAAATCTATTTCAATTTGACTTTAACAGTATCTTCCCTTACTAAGCTTTCTATTGTTCAGTGCCGAATAGAGCTAGAGCAGAGCAGATTGTTGGTGTTGGAAGCAGCTGACCAACTTGATAGGCATGGGAACAAAAAAGCTCGAGGGATCCTAGCAATGGCAAAGGTAATTCGATCCTCATCCGGGGTTCCTATCATTTTACTCATGAGATTGATTTTCTTTCAACAATATGCTTGGTTTGTGTTCAGGTATCCGCGCCAAACATGGCACTAAAGGTGCTTGACATGGCCATGCAAGTGCATGGAGCAGCTGGTGTATCATCTGACACAGTCCTGGCACATCTTTGGGCAGCTGCAAGAACATTGAGAATCGCAGATGGTCCAGATGAAGTTCACTTGGGTACCATAGCCAAGTTAGAACTACGGAGAGCCAAGCTTTGATTACCTCAACATTCTGCATCATGGGACGAAAAGAAAGTTACCAAATTAAAAACTGAAACAAAGCAGGAAAATACACTGCCATCAAATAAGTGTTCCAAGAAAAAAAGCATTTATGACAATAGCAGTGTTCCGAAATGCTTTTGGGAGCATTAGGTAATTTGTATTAGTTTTTTTTTTTTTTCAAAATAAGCTTTCACTTTGTGCGTTCCATAATTGTAACCCTTCTAATTCCTTGCTAAATAGTAAATACCTTAATCCTTACTACACAGTAGTGAAGTATTCCGGAACCACAACTACAAGAAGGATTCCTAATAAGATTTCACAAGTACAAAGCAAAAAAAGGAAATAAGTACAATGATACCTGCCAATAGTCATAACTTATTTGTAATTAACAGCAAAAGAAAGTTCATTTAAACAACACGTTTACGGTATTTACCTATATTTTGAAACTCTACTAGTTAAAACCACATCTCTTCCATCATCTTCATCTATCTCAAGTAAACGTGAATTAATGGAATCTCCTTTACAATATTAATTGAAGCCTCAGGTCAGTAAATATATAATAACCATGCCTCATGGACCCAATCGTGATCTCCATAGCTTTATGAGCTAAAACTTGTGCCATGAATCAGCACATCACTGTCATATTCATTGAAATCAAAACTAAATTCTATAATTCAGAACACCTAAGCATATTGAGCTGAATTTGACTCAAGAAATTGGAAACTTATTTCACCCACAAATAAATGATCAATTTATAAAGAGTAAATCAACATCAATAACACTTTTATCCCAAATCAGTTGGGTCAGCTGTTGGATGAACCAAAAAAATAAATAATGAAAATAGTAAATAAAAAATAAAAATAAAATAACAGTTCACCCAATGCAATTGAAAGTCAACAGTTGTCCAGGGTAATAGGTGGAAAGGCCTGAAATAGTACATATAAATGTTAATGAGTATGTTAACTCAGGTTAAGACTAAAAACGTTTCACACATTCAATCAGTATTAGTCTCTGAAGAAACATTTCTATTTTCTGGAGTTGATTCTAGCAGCAGAGGAGAATATACTACCATAACGGATTAAATATTGCAAGTTTCAACTTTCTCAAGGTCCAAACTTCCTTCACATACTATGTAAACAGAGGATATAATAGGATTTTACTTTGATATCTGTTTGCCAGCCAAAACAAGTATTCGAGAAGTTAATATTTGAACAATGAAGTGAAACCATTATTTTGGATTTTGGTGTAAATATACTGAAATTTTTTACACCAATAAATATAAATTAAAGGAGCTAGAAATACATCACTAATTGACATAACATGAAAATAGTCCGATCTTACCACAACATGGATGCCAATCATTGTTTCAACAAGTTTTTTGTCATCAACTATAAATACTTTCATCTAAGGCCAAGTTTCTCACTTCACTTGTCCATAGCACAAAATCAGAATCATATTTTTCTGTGGCCAAATAGAATTGCATGGAATGTTGTGGATGCAAACAATTAGCGAGAAACACCAAGAACAAGAGAGACGAATAAAGAAGGAATAGTGAGACAATAAATGCTTACTCAAGCATCAAGAACAAATGGGAACAGTGGCCAAAGTGCCACTGTTGGCAAAAAAAAACACCAAAATGCCACGCCAACAGTAAATTTTGCCAAAATGCCACGCGACATATTTCGCTACACTGTGTAGCGAAATATGTGTGCAAATAATTCGCTACACAGTGTAGCGAAATATGCAACGTCAGAACCAAAAAGGCCACATGTCAAACAGGGAGAATTTCGCTACACTGTCTGACACGTGGCATTTTTGGTTCTGTGCATTCTGACGCGGAATATTTCGCTACACCGTGTAGCGAGTTATTTGCACACATATTTCGCTACACAGTGTAGCAAAATATGCCGCGTGGCATTTTGACAAAATTTACTGTTGGCGTGAAATTTTGATGTTTTTTTTCTAACAGTGGCACTTTGGCCACTGTTCCGAACAAATGAGCTTGAAACAGTAGTGCTGTATTGTAGTGATGAGGTGTGGTGGCTAGGAGAGGAATTTGGTTGCTCCGGGAGCACCACTCACTCGGTGCTCCCTTCTCATAAATGAGGAGGATAAAATGGAAAAAAAAAAAATTCTTATTACGAGAGGAACCACCAAAAATTTTTAGTGGTCGAACATTTTAGATTTTTTCAGTGGCTAGGGCTGTTATTGGGTGAGTTAGCAATGGCATAATAAAATAAAAATAAAGAATAAAAAAACACCTTTTGGCATGTGTTATTTTGTTGTGCAATGAACTGATAATGATGTACATTATTGGTCATTTTCCTTGTAACAAATAACAATATGATTACTTAATATATACCAAAACAATAACAAACTGCAAAAGCCATGCAAGCATAACAAGAATACTGATCGCACCCGCCATCTATTCTGTCCAATCTCGAAGTCCCATGATTCAAGGAGCTCCTCTAAACTATACCCTTTTGAACCATCTTTTGATTAACAAATAAAATGCCATAATTAGTCAATGAGCTATATTTCGGTTGATGTTACATGCCAGGTTTAGTAGTTAGGTGACATGCCTAGTGGTGGATATTACAATTACACTCTGTTTCATAAGGGATTCCCACCTTCCATTTGACAAGGGATATTGTGCTTTGTATAAATAGAATATTCATTCCCACGATTGGGAAGCAAGAGCGCCCTAGGTCTTTGAAAAACACTGCCCAGGAAAAAGGGCCTAGAGCAACATTGTTTCTGATTCTTTTACATTTCTATTGCACAAAAACAAAAAAACAAAAAAAAACAAAATATATTGAAATCATAGTTTAAAATGGCCGAACAAAATAGTGGCCGTGATCAGAAGAAGAGGTTTGCCATTGTTGGCATCTCTTCAATCCTTCTTGTGGCTATGGTGGCTGCGGTGGCGGTTGGTTTAACCCGCAGCGGCACCGGCAAAAGCAACGGGCATGATGAGGGTACTGGTCATGTCTTTAGCTCTCAAAGGAACGTAGAAATGCTTTGCCAATCAACAGAATACCCAGAAACCTGCCACAAAAGCCTTGATAAAGCATCAAACGAAACCACAGACATAAAAGAGCTTATCAAAATCGCATTCAATGCAACAGCTGTGGAGCTTTTGAACCACATAAACAACTCCACCCTTTATCATGAGTTGGCAAAGGACAACATGACAAAACAAGCCATGGATATTTGCAAGGAAGTGTTGGATTATGCTGTTGATGACATTCACAAGTCTATTGAGACAATGGACAAGTTTGACTTCAACAAGCTCAATGAATACGCTTATGACCTTAAGGTTTGGATCACAGGAACCCTCTCTCACCAACAAACTTGCTTAGATGGCTTTGAGAACACAACAACACAAGCTGGTTTAACCATGGCTAAGGTTCTGAACACCTCTTTGGAGCTAAGTAGCAATGCTTTGGATATGATCAATGGTGTCTCTGGCATTCTCAAGGATCTCAACATCAACACAATTGGTAGCAGAAGACTTCTCTCTGAGGATGGTTTCCCTTCATGGGTGAGTGAAGGGCAAAGACGTCTTCTTCAGGTTGGTCCTGGAAGCATTAAGCCTAATGCTGTTGTTGCTAAAGATGGGAGTGGCCAATTCAAAACACTTGGTGATGCTCTTAAGACTGTTCCTCCAAAAAATGCAGTGCCTTTTGTGATTTATGTTAAGACTGGTGTATACAATGAGATTGTAAATGTGCCTAAGGAAATGACCCATGTCACCATCATCGGAGATGGTCCCACAAAAACCAGATTCAGTGGTAGCCTCAACTTCAAGGACGGTGTCCAAACTTACAACACTGCAACCTTTGGTAAGTACCACACCACACAAAGAGGTTTTTCTGTTTTGTTTTTTCGGTCGCATAGCATAGCATAGTATGAAGAAATATTGCATGCTACAACTCCATTCCACCAGATTTAATGAAATTTAAACATAGAACATCCAAAAATATAGTACTCAATGCTTAACAATTAGAGCATATATAGTCTTAAAAAAATTTAAATCTGTATTACTGTTTATTCAACATATGTGTACTCTAGCAGTTAAATAGAGATACCATTAATTAACCACGTGGATGGGCGTGATCATTCAGCATCTCGTCCCTTAAGCAAGTGGTTGGGGGTTCGAACCCCAACTCTTGTGAATGGAAAACATTTCGTGGCCAGCTCTTTACCGCTTTGTGCGCTGACCTAGGGCAAAGGATTAGTCTCATGCCTATTGGCTGTGGGGATACCCAGATGTAATCTAAAAAAAAAAAAAAGATATACCATTAATTAGGATTTCATATAGAATTTGTAGATTTTTGTTCAACATATAAAAACCACTTGTCTCAAAAGTAGTCCAATTAAAAGAATTGAGTGAGTGAGTGAGTGTTATTAGAACAAAATGTTCAAAATTAAGATCATACCTTGTGTGAAACTAAATAACATTTGGAAATATACGTAGCTTATGATTACTATTAATTATGACATGCAGGAGTTAACGGTGCTAACTTCATGGCAAAGGATGTTGGATTCGAGAACACAGCAGGAGCAACGAAGCACCAAGCAGTGGCACTTAGAGTAACAGCAGACCAAGCATTGTTCTACAATTGCCAAATGGATGGTTTCCAAGACACCCTTTACACTCAATCCCAACGCCAATTCTACCGTGACTGCACCGTAAGTGGAACCATTGATTTCATCTTCGGTGACGCCTTTGGAGTCTTCCAAAACTGCAAGCTAATAGTGAGAAAACCCTTAGACTCACAACAATGCATGGTAACAGCAGGTGGCAGAACAAAACAAAATAGCCTTAGTGCCCTTGTTTTCCAAAACTGTGTCTTCACAGGGGAACCAGCGGTTGCTGCCCTTAAACCCAAGATATCATACCTTGGAAGACCATGGAAACCTTATTCTAAGGTTGTTATCATGGACTCACAAATTGATGATATCTTTGTCCCTGAAGGGTACATGGCATGGATGGGAAGTGCTTACAAGGAAACATGCACTTATTATGAGTACAACAATAAGGGTCCTGGTGCTGACACGTCATCAAGAGTCAAGTGGTTTGGTGTTAAGACTATAACACCTACGGAAGCTGGTGATTATTACCCTGGAAAGTTCTTTGAACTTGTTAACGCTACTGAACGTGATGGTTGGATTGTTAACTCTGGGGTACCCTACAACCTTGGACCTATGGCTAGTAAAAATTCCTCACCCGTTGGTGGTTTTACAACGAGAGGACAAGGGAAGGCACGTGTCCTTATCCAGCCTGAGCATCCTGAACGTACTCGTGAAATGTAATATCTTATTTAAATTCAAATGAACAAGGTAACGATATAGGATAAAGGGGGTGCAATATTGACATCCTTTAAGCTACAATGTTTGTATGCAAAGTTATGATCATTTGAATTATTGGTATAATGAAGGAAAGTGATTTGCAGTACATGCTCCTATATCCATATATAATCATTCGATTAATGCAGATATATAATTTTTTTTTTTTTTGGTATCCTATGCAGATATATAATTTAATTTGCTTATAATTGGGCTTTTTGACCTTTATGCCCCTTAATTAATAATTAATTACCAAATTGCCCTTCATTCAAAACTATTTCGAAAATTTACCCTCCCCAACAAACATAACACCAATCTGCCCCTGTTTGACCGTTGACCACGAAGCCTACCCGGGTACATCATTACCTACCCGGGTAAATTTTGAAACTTTTTATCTACCCGAGTATGTAGGGGTGTACCCGGGTAGAGTTCTTGAATCTGGGAAAATGTTTGAATTATTTACCCGGGTAAGGAGCAGTGTACCCGGGTAAACATCGACGGTAGGGTTTTAAAATACCCCAGCAGCCCCATTTCGAAAACCCACAAAAGGGGTACCCGAGTAGAGCTGCTGGAGGAGTGTCTTCTTGAGCGATTTCAGGCATAATCTTGCACCAATTCGTCTTGTTTGTGATCATCATTCGCGGACCTTGCAACCTCTCTGCCTTCTACCGATTGAAATCGATCAAAGGTGCATTTTTTTTTTCAGTTTTTTCAATTATGTTATGATTTCTGTTCTGATTCATTGTATTTTCGTTTATATCATTTGATTCTGTCCGAATTATTTTATCAATTTGTATGTCATACGCTTACCCTAACCCTAACCCTAACCTAACATGTATCTAATTTCTGATTTTGGTTATTTTTTCAGTTTAATAGTGTGACACAATGACCTCTCGACGCGTATCAAAGCTGCCAGTGACCCAGTCCGAGAGAAGAACCAAGAGTCGTCACGATGGGTCGTCATCCTCTCAGCCCCAGGCTGCTTCGAGTCAGGCTCCGGACTTGACGTTCGGATATTTGTTTGAGGATGACATACCTTCACACGAGAAGTTCATGAAGTTTTTCATGCCGAATCCAGTGATTTCGGTTCGCAGATCTTCCGGGTCATGAAAAACTTCACGAACTTCTCGTGTGAAGGTATGTCATCCTCAAACAAATATCCGAACGTCAAGTCCGGAGCCTGACTCGAAGCAGCCTGGGGCTGAGAGGATGACGACCCATCGTGACGACTCTTGGTTCTTCTCTCGGAATGGGTCACTGGCAGCTTTGAAACGCGTCGAGAGGTCATTGTGTCACACTATTAAACTGAAAAAATAACCAAAATCAGAAATTAGATACATGTTAGGGTTAGGGTTAGGGTTAGGGTTAGGGTTAGGGTTAGATTCAGGGTTAGGGTTAGGGTTAGGGTAAGCGTATGACATACAAATTGATAAAATAATTCGGACAGAATCAAATGATATAAACAAAAATACAATGAATCAGAACAGAAATCATAACATAATTGAAAAAACTGAAAAAAAAATGCACCTTTGATCGATTTCAATCGGTAGAAGGCAGAGAGGTTGCAAGGTCCGCGAATGATGATCACAAACAAGACGAATTGGTGCAAGATTATGCCTGAAATCGCTCAAGAAGACACTCCTCCAGCAGCTCTACTCGGGTACCCCTTTTGTGGGTTTTCGAAATGGGGCTGCTGGGGTATTTTAAAACCCTACCGTCGATGTTTACCCGGGTACACTGCTCCTTACCCGGGTAAATAATTCAAACATTTTCCCAGATTCAAGAACTCTACCCGGGTACACCCCTACATACTCGGGTAGATAAAAAGTTTCAAAATTTACCCGGGTAGGTAATGATGTACCCGGGTAGGCTTCGTGGTCAACGGTCAAACAGGGGTAGATTGGTGTTATGTTTGTTGGGGAGGGTAAATTTTCGAAATAGTTTTGAATGAAGGGCAATTTGGTAATTAATTATTAATTAAGGGGCATAAGGGTCAAAAAGCCAAATAACAAGTCCTTTACTTACAGGAGAATAGTATTACTTCTGATAAAAGTTTAAAAGAGAGAAAAGAGAACGAGGTGAAAGAAAAATTTAATATAAAATCCAAACTTTTTCACCCTTTTGCCCCTTATTAATTAATTAATAATCATTTTGTGTTAAGAGTGTTAGCGTTAATAGTGTAGAAGTCCCACATTGAGTGTGTCTCTTTGTATTCTTCAATTGGTTTGCTATATAATAGCACCAATGTTGTGTAGTTTAATACAACAAGGATTACTATCATTTCCTCTTGTATCTATGATATTCAACATGGTATCTAGAGCCTAACAAGAGGAATCTTAATCTGTTTAACTTAGTTCTATTTTCCATAATTTCAATATGGTTATAGAGAGATATCACCCTCCTTGAGGGATTCCCGTTGCTATTTCTTTTTCGGGTTTTTTTTAGTATGCTCTGTGACTGCAGCTTAGACTGATCTGTCACATCAGAAAAGAATGATCCTTGGGAAGTTGTTGGGTTGACCACCGTTGTCTTTGACTGACCACCGTTGACCGCGTCGTCCACCGTTGACAGCCGTCTCCGGCGACTTTTCCAGTGACTTTTCCGATGACTTTCCGGTGACTTTTTCGGCGATCCACCACCGTCTCCGACGACTTTTTCGACGACCCACCGCCGTCTCTGGCGACTTTTCCGATTCCGCGAAGCTTTGTTTTTCTTTAATCTTCTTTCTTCCCAAGATGAAGTATTTATACTATTCATCATCCATCTTGAGGGGGAGTGTTGTCCAAGTTGTTGATGTTGTCTCCGCTGATGATAATTCTGGCACTGTTTAGAAGTTCCTCTTAAGGGGGAGCACTATCTATGTTGCTGATGGTCATTCCAGCACAATTGTCTTTGCCGATGATAATTCCAGCACTGTTTAGAAGTTCCTCTTGAGGGGGAGCACTGTCCATGTTGCTGATGATCATTCCAGCACAATTGTCTTTGCCGATGATAATTCCGGCACTGTTTAGAAGTTCCTCTTGAGGGGGAGCACTGTCCATGTTGCTGATGGTCATTCCAGCACAATTGTCTTTGCCGATGATAATTCCGGCACTGTTTAGAAGTTCCTCTTGAGGGGGAGCACTGTCCATGTTGCTGATGGTCATTCCAGCACAATTGTCTTTGCCGATGATCATTCTGGCATCTTCCATGTTGATGTTCATTTCGACGCCATTTTTAGCACATTGTTGATTTTTGGTTTCTCATTTAGGAGATTTATTTTGATGTTATGTTACTTGGTCTTTCTTGTAATAAGCTTGTAGCATAGTCAAGGGGAAACCACGGCTGCTCACCAACTGTTAAATGAAATGTCTGAGAGGGATCTTGATGCTGATGTCCTGGTCAGCTCAGTTGTCTTTGTCGATGATAATTTCGGCACCATCCATGCTTTGATGTCCATTCCAGCACTGTCTCTTTATCAGCTCTTCAGACTGATGGTCATTCCAGTTGATTTGTTGTACTTAATCATTTCATTTCGTTGATGTAGCATTGTTGTTTTTGGTTCCTAATGGGAGTATTATTTATGTATCAAGCTTGTAGCATATGATCTATATGCTACAGCTTGAGGGGGAGTGTTAAGAGTGTTAGTGTTAATAGTGTAGAAGTCCCACATTGAGTGTGTCTCTTTGTATTCTTCAATTGGTTTGCCATATAATAGCATCAATGTTGTGTAGTTTAATACAACAAGGATTACTATCATTTCCTCTTGTATCTATGATATTCAACATTTTGTCTCTGATTCGAAACTTTCTATCAATCTACCCCTCTTTAATCGACTACCTTGCATTTTTAATCGATTAAATCTCCCAGGCAACAAAGGAAAACAGGTCAGTATGATTTTTTAATCGACTAAATAGGGAGATTTAGTAGATTAAATCTCCCAACAACTATTTAATCGATTAAAAATGCAAGTTAATTGATTAAAGAGGGATAAATTGGTGGATAGTTTTGAATAAGGGACAAAATGATTATTAATTAATTAATGAGGAGCAAAATGGTCAAATAGCCTAAAACCCACTTATGGATTGCTTCTCCGGAAAAATAATACTATTTTCTCGTAATATGAAAATAATATTACCCTTGATTTAATAGTTAAAAAGGATAGAAAGATAAAACGTGTTTTTTTTAAAATATAAAATTATGTCATTTTAGATAAGCTAAAAAAAGATTAGTTTAATTTTTTTTAATTAAAATTATCATTCTAACATTTTTCCCATAAAAACAACAAAATAGAAGAAGAAAACTACAGAGTGTTTAAAAAAAAAAAAAAAAAAAAAAAACTACAGAGTGCAGTGCAGAGACCACCCCTTTCGTTCAAGACCACAAGTTTATTGGGATGAGCTAGGCCCAGGGATCAGGCCCAACTTACCTTGGATTTGTGATTGGGGAGCAAGCGGGAAAAACAATCGAAAACTTTCGAACGGTCTTTCTCTCTCCTCTCGAATCTCCCTCTCTCTCTCTCTCTCTCTCTCTCTTTCTCTCTCTTTCTCTTTGGCTGGTTGCCATAGCTCGCAATTCTATCTGCACGTCACACAAGCTTCGAACTTGTCAACTCCCCATTTTGCATTTCTGGAGGATCTCGAAACCCTTTTTTTTGTTTTCGGAGTTCTCCTATCCCACGCCGGAAAATTGAAACCCTAGAGTTTTCTCTTTTTGTTTTTGTTTGTCGAAAGTTGCAAAGATTACTATGATTTGCGTAACGTTTTTGTCCATTGAAGATGACTAAAGATAGCTCGGAACCTGGCGGCAGTGCCGGCTTTCACGCGGTTCACGCGTTGCGTGACCTAGAATCCAATTGGGAAGTTGACCTCGCCAAGAAGCTTGAGGAGTATCTGCTGAAAATTTGCTCCGGCGAGATCACCGGCGAAGAAGAAGGCCATATTCCTGTAAATTTTGCCGAAGGTTTGCCCCCATCTGACACGTTTTCTGTTGAAAAATCCCAATTTATTTTATTACAACTATCTTCTTGTTGTTAAAGCCCTATGTTCAACTGAAATAGCTGTTTCTGGTTAATTGTAGCTGCTCTGCTGCTTCAGGGTTCCATACAGGTATATAGTCGAAAGGTGGAATATCTCTACAACTTGGTAGTGCGTGCTTTAGAGTTCCTTTCTCAGCAGAAAAGGTTTGATTTTTTAGTTAAAGTTTCCGCATTTATTTGTATTTTGCTATATAATCTGTAGCTCTCTCTCTCTCTCTTTCTCTCTCTGGGGAGTTGGGGGTTAGAATAAAGGGGCCGAAGCCCATTTGCAGTTCGTGTTTTATCTAAATGCAGTAGTAGAACTTTAACTTCTTAGTTACATGTCAGTTGCAAAAGTTAGTTCCGGCTTTCCTCTTCTGTCTGGTTGCAATTTTCGTGTTAATTGATGTGTAAGTATCACACACGAAGTCTCAATGTCTTCGCGTCACATATGATTTCATTGGTCAAATTTAAAATCATGGTTAAAGTTTTTTTATTAAATGAATTTACATCGAAGCGTGCAAAAGATCCTTTGGTGAGTAAGGTGTTTAGTGTTTTCCATAGCTGCATTTAATTGCTATTGTCAATTCATTGATTCAGCAGCAATTTTGTGGATATCCTTGTAAAGAATTCATTATATCTCTACACCTAATTTATTGATTCATTTTATTACATAAAACCTCTATGGGAGCTGAAACGGCTAATATGCCTTATGTGGTAAACGTATGTGAAATTTTCATCTATAATATCTATTATAAACTAAGTAATGGCCCGGGATCAAGATTTCGTATATGAAGACTCTCAAGTACTGTAGCTTGTTTGAAGAGAGTCAAGAGACAATGGTGTATATGGCACAGATTATCTTTTGATAATTATTACTTTTTTTGTTACATAAACTAGTAGTCTAGAAGTCAGATCTCCTTTGCCTACACTGTCAATATCAAATGTAGGAGTGTTTAGGGTTTAGGATCCTACCGTCTATTAACATAGTATCGGAATCTTTGCACTGTTTACACCAGTAACTCATACCATTGTTTATAGTTGCATATTTTAGCTTGCTCTCCAGACTCTAGCAATGTAGCTAGTTTAACTTTAAAATATAACTATTTTTATTTTATTTGCAATAATCGCGATTCATTATCCATGATAAGAAAGGAGACCGCAAATAATCTCTTTGTTAGAACCTCTAAAGCTGTTAGAGATATGAAAGCAATCTTGTGCCTTCCCCTAATAGACCTAATAGTTTAAACTTTTAGTTTAGTTGATCCTTGACATGGTATTGTAGCCTCTGTGATCAAGTGGTTAGGAGTTCAATCTTTTCAACCTACATTCTTCTAAATAAATAAATTGAATTTTCATCATAATGTAGGTGGGTTTGCGTATTGTCCGGGCTTTAATCCCAATGTGATTTTGTATGAGGGGGCATGCTAGAGATGTAGAATCATTCATATGTGTTCATCTAACAGTTTAAGTTTTTTTTATGGAGAGTTTGTATATGCAAGAACCAACAACAGATTTTAAGTGACACAAAATAGAGAGTAATAATCTGATTTAACTGACTTTTTTATTTTATTTTATGCAAACTGCAAAGTACTGTTTGATCTCACTAATGTTTTTTGGGCAGTCAGCAAGATCATATAGATGGAGCATCAGTCCCACCTGAAGAAAGTGGTCCTTGTGCTGTTGCTGATGAAGAAAATGATCAATTCTGGGGCTTAGATGACATCCCAGGTAGCCTATTTAACGGATAATATGACTAAATGATCAAACAAGAATCATAACATTAGCGGAGTTATTATTATCGTGATTAGTTTTATTTAGAAAAATTTGTTTGCTGCTGCTATAGGTTTGTTCTATACTGGGGTGGGGCATATTATTTACAAATCTTCTTTAATTGGTAAGGTTGTTTAAGCTTATATGGTTTAGGATTTAGGACATTTTCAAATACATTCATGATATTACTCAAATTAGATTTTCATTGCTTCGGGCCTTTGTTTCATGTCCATAAAATTTTTAAGGATGTTTCTCATTTTGGGTTCTCCCTTCTCTCATACATTCTGTCTTCTTTGTCTCATTAGTCTTTCATCAAGTGCATCAAAACAGTTATCTTGTGCATTATTGTTGCTTTTGTTTCACTATAAATATGTACAAATGCTAGATCACTTAAACTTTTGTTATATTGCAGCTGAAGAAAAGAATTCCTTGGATGTTACAACAGGCAAAGAGGTGAACTTGGATCACTTTATAAAACCCCCTGCAAATCTAGTTGTTCTTGAAGGTGACTGCTTGGATGCCGCCGGTGATGGAGGGGAATTGGAGTCTTATCTGGTATTGTAACTGCTTGCAGCTGTTTACATAATGATGTTTGTATTTTTATTCACTAATGATATGATGAATTGTTGCAGTTGTCCACCACAGACTTGTACCAGGATTTTATTTTATTGGACACATCTGATGCTGCTGCAGTTAATGAGTTTCTGAAGGGCAGGAAAGCTGGTGCAACACAAAATGGTGCCAATAGGGGAACCTCAACACGTAAAAGCTATCTTTCTCCCACTAGATGCTCTGGTGGAAGTGCTCGTAAATCATCAGCTGCAAAGAGTCAGCGTGCTAAATCCAACTGCTCTCCTAAACTTAATTGTAGTTTTGATGAGAAAAATGTTCGGCCCAGTTCTCCTGCTGGTCTTGATAACTGCAACTTTGGATTTAATATGGATGATGGATGTGATACATCTAGGGATTCAGACAATTCGGATGCTGATTATGATGATCCATGGAGACCTTTGAATCCTCATGAACCTGGCAACTTGAGGGTGAAACCATTTAGAAAAGGTCCCCACCCTCCCCTGCCCCTTCACCCTTCACCAACTTGCCTTAACTTAATTGTATAACATTCATATCTGCTTTCTTCTTTATGTTGTACCTGCAGTGAAAGCTCTGAAAAAGAATGTCACCAATGTGACCCAACGAGTATCTATGAGCACCTTGTTTCCACTTGCGAAACTGCATGGTCCTGTCAGTCCAGAGCTCATGGAAATGTGGGAGATGCGACATCATGCCCATGAACGTCAAAGGGATTCTCAATCTTCTCCACCATTATATGAGAAGGTACTTTTTCATGGTTGCTCTATTTACCAATTATTTAAATTTCAATTTTTATATAATGTGATATGTAAATTGCAGCTGAGGCAATCTCTTATTAATGATGTGAATAAAACTGGTGGATCGTTTTTTAACTCTGATGCTGACAATGATGACAACGAAAATGATGGCGGAAATCCTGATTTTGATATGCCAGGCGATGCCTTCATGGATGAAGATATACCTCCTTGCACTAAAGAGGTTAGGAGAGGAGACCAGTAATATGACTTATCATATATTCTAGATGACATCTTGAAAACTAATATTATATGCTTATCTACTTGAATTAACAGCCTGAAATTGATGACGCTCATGTCAATGCTGATGAAGCTATAGATCCTCAATATCTTAATTCTCAGGAAAGTTTGGAAGATCTTTGCCGCTCTCACCTGGTAAGAGTGCCATTGTCTATGATTTCTGGGTATTGAAGTGGTTACTTATCAATTGTTGCAACTTGTTACAACTTACAAAGGCTTCTGTCACCCCCTCTTTACAGTATTCATAATTTATTTTACTAAACCCCTAAATTAACTGAGAAATTTAAGTCCTGTGAAGCATCTGCTCATGGTTGTTTGGAGAAGAGAAAGAAATGCTAATTCACTTAAACGAAATGTAAACATCAATCCGATGGTATTTATCCTTAGCCCTTTGTTTCAACAAAATAGTTTGAATCAACTTAAGAGCTAAAGAGTTGTAGCCTTTTAGAGTCATGATAAGAATACACCCATGGGGTTGGTTTTTCCTATCTGGCCAGTTTTGCGTTGTCTGTTTTCCTTACACTACTATATCTTTTGCTAAATAATTCTATATTATTGTATGGGTTATTAACCATTATGCCTCATCTAGAATGCTCTCCTAGCTAGCATAGCTGAAACGGAGAAGCAAACTGAAATGGCTGCTAGGGTTTCAACATGGAAACAAAGAATTGAGCACAACTTGGAAGAACAGGTGAATTCATCTTTTGAGTGTCCTTACACTCTATCTTTTTAGTGCTTAAATTGAATGGACTGTTTTTGCATGATAGGAAGCCCACCCACCATTTGATATCCGAGACTATGGTGAGAGAATTCTGGACAAACTATCCCTTGAAGCAAGCAGTAGCTGTGCCCTTTCATTTTCTGATTTGGTTCAGGGACAAGAAAAGTATGACGTGGCCCGAAGTTTTTCTTCTCTTCTTCAACTGGTAATTCCTTTATTAGCAGTGTCCAGTGCACTTTTTGAACTTTTACTTCCCGTGGTAGAGTCCTATTAATTGGATGATCCCCAAATCATTATTTCAATCTGTCATGCGAGTTCTACCAATTTCCAGGTGAACAATGGAGAAGTAGATCTAGAAAGGAATGGAATTGATGGGGGGTCTGTCTGCTACACAGCAGTAAATCCTTTTCATGTTAGGCTTCTTAAGCATGACAAGAAACGGGAGGATGCACAGCTTCATTTGCCAAAAAAGAGAGGCAAGTCCCCAACAAAAAAAGGGTCCATAAAAGGTGACAAGAACAAAACTGGAAGAGCAAAGTCTCCCTCCCCCAGTTCATCTTCTAGGAAATATAGACAAACAGGGTTGTCACCACAGGCAAATTGCAAGTTTTCTGTGAAGCTTGGAAAGGCGAGTGCCATAAAGTTCTCCCCTGAAGCCAAGAGAAGGCGTAGATCTCAGTATGTCGAACCAGTTAACTTACATTCATCAGGGTGACACTGACCATTAGCAGCTTATTCCACTCAGTCCTGAATGATTCAACTCGACATTTGCTAGATGTCTTAGACTAAGTTGTGAAGTCATTACAGTCCTAGGTCTCACTAAATACTAACATCTATCAGTTTCCACCTGTATCATCATTGCTGATGACATTAAGATATTGATGTAATATCATCTTGTAACACCATGCAATTTTATCAATGTAATAACTTCGTTCATACCCAGTATCTGACTATCTGTCCGCATTGCTTGTCCCTCTTCCTAAAGCAAATTGTGCATTTGTGCTCATGGCGAGGAGAAATTCCTATGTACTCTTAGTTAAGAGTACTACACCCATTTCATTAAAAGTGCAACAGTGGAGTGTGGACAATATATAATATATGTTGGATTAAATTAAAAAAAAATTATATTTCATGATTTCTCATGCAAGGGAAGGTAATCATTATCTGAATTTAGAGGTGGCAAAGTGGGCGGCTCGCCTTATCCAGTCCCATCTCACCCTGTTATTAACATGCTAAAAAATGAGCCAGCCCGTCTCACTCCATCCAGTCCCATCCCACCCCGCTATCAACTTGCAAAAAAATGAGCCAGACCATCTAGCCTTGTTTGGTGGGTTGGGCGGATTGGCCTGTCAGTCTGAGCCTACTTTAGATTTATCCGCCTCGGTCCACCTATACTCGTCATCAACTTGCTAAAAAATGAACTCGTCCAGCCCCGCTTTTGAGATGGGTTAAAAAACTCAGCCCGCCTCTTCCAGTTTAGTGGGTGGGACCGATTGGCCCGCCGAACCGAGCCCATTTTGCTGGCTCTATCTGAATTACATAAAGTGTTGTTGATGACTATGAAGCACCGACACTTCAAAAATCCTGACGTGTCGTGTCCGACACTTCTTGACACTCACCGACACTTTGACATTTTCTGACACTCCAATACTCGTTGCAAAGACTCAAAAAAGGTTCAAAGGTTATGTTACGTTGCATTTTGAGTTTCAATTATTTGATTCGTTAGATTACGATTACGATTTTATTGAGTTTAATATAAACATTTAGGATATATTTTATTTTTTGAAAAATTTATGGGTATTATAAGTTTAGCTTTATTTTTTTGTTAAATTATTGAGTACTAAATATAATATACATTATATAAATTAAAATATTATATAATATCAAAACGTGTCCTAACATGTCAAAATTTAACATTTTTTAAAATTAACGTGTCAGAGTGTCGTATTGTATCGTATCCCGTGTCATGTGTCGGTGTCAGTGCAATGTAGGTTGATGAGATGAAGTGTTGTAAAGGGGAAATAAGAGTTTCAACAACCATGCAACTGTCTTGGCATAAAGCAATGAAACTTGACAGTTGACAGTTGCTGTGGAGTTAGTTTGTGAAGTAAGTCCAGCCAATTGAACCACAGATTTTTAGTAACAGTGTACAAAGTCAATAACTACTTTTAGTTTTAGCTGCTCCACACCACACCCTTGGTCCATCACACTATTATTTTCATCAACAGTCATGAACCCACCTAGTAACAGGATACATAATTACACAAAATAGGAAAGCGTGTGGGGTCGGGAGAATAAAATTAAATGTGGGGTGTAGTTTCTAGTGGCAGCGTCGAGCCCCATTGTATAATGTCCATTACCAAACTCGTTTCGTTTTCTTACTTACCCCAACACAAGTGGCTCCCAGATAAACATTATTTCCTACGGTGAGTGTGTGTCATTTCAAATGATGTAAAGTTGTGTCATTTTAAGTGAGAGAAAAAGATAGATAAAGAGGAGAGAGTGGACAAAAAAATAAAGGTGTGGGTCTCATATCTCTTTGTACGAGTGAAAAGATATAAGTTGTGTAATTTAAGAGGACAAATATTTTTTCCTATTTCTTAGGTGGGGTTTTAAATAGTAAAATTTCAACAGTAGAAAGAGTGTAGGAATTAGAATCAGACCAGGAAAAGAATTTGACGGGTTCTGATTTAGTACTATGTATTGTTGGGATCAATTTATAATCTGATCATTCTTGAGGCCCTTATCATAAAAACCAATTATTTTCTGTTTTGTTTTTTTAGACACAGTGAAGGAGATGAAGCACTGTTTGAAACTGAAAAAGCATTGCTGCGAATGTAAATTTATGGAATGTAAATTTATGGAATAAAATTTTCATTTGATATTATTTTAAAACTATTAATTTAATTTTGATCTAATAAAAAAGAAATGATAATACGAAGTTGCAAGGGAGAAAATTATAGATATAACCCCACTTTAAAATTAATATCTATTAAATACCTTGTACTGGTAGATTTAGATCCATCTGAACCACCACCATCTTGCAAAATCGTAAACTAACTAATCGAACCACTTGTTGAAGTTGCTGATAGATCATTTCAAACCACCACAAGAAAATTCAAATTTAAAAATACAATTTTACCAATAAAAATTAAAGTAACATATCAATATCATTAAAATCAAATCCTTTGACTAGTAGCGGTTGGAATTATTATCAGTACAGTTTGACCAAAAAATTTGCTGCTCTAAGCCACTAGGATGGAGGGATTTGGATTTAAATAATTTGCATACGATCATTGAAACAGTGTTCCCATTGTGTAAAAAAAAATTGCTTCCCTCTATTTTCTTTTTTCACTCTAAAAAAAAAAAAAACCTATGAATCTATGAGCTTTTTTAAAAAAAATTATTAAAAGAAAAGTATTTATTGTACAATATTATTCTTCCAACATTATCTTGCCATGGCCAAAAACTCTTGTCACCGACACTCACGCGCCGCTCATTGCGTCCACCGAAAAATGTCCAGACAAATCACATGAGGAATAAAATTCTTAAACAATAGCCGCCACGCGCCGAACCCATAGCTTTGGACATGTTTTCGGTTCCACACCCGCCGCGTTAGCACCACCACACTCACCGAGTCAGCTCCGATTTCCCGCTCGCCAACTCACTGAGTTTCGTCTCGTCCACCTTGTTCCGTGCTAAACTCGGCAGCGGAGCTGCAACCACCACCACCCGACGACGACGGAGAAACGCTTCCCTTACGTTCCCTGCTAAGGATTCTCTTGAACGACATCATCCGACTCATCGGCGACCGAAACGATGACTGAGTCGACGGCGAGTCGCAATCCGACTCGTCCCGGAAACTCTCGTTCCTCGCGTCCCGGAAACTCTCGTTCCTCGCCGGCACCTCAACGGTCACCCTTACAAACGACGGCTTCCTCCTCAACCCAACCGACGACGAAGAAACCTCTCGCCCGGCTCGGTTCTCATCTTCCAAGCACAATCCCGAACCCGAACCGGGTTCCGGTTCGCACACAGTTATAAACAAATCGGATCGGGTCTGTGGCGGGTCAACCGTAGCACGACAGAGAGGACAGGTGGAGTGAGAGTGAAACCACATGTCAATACATTCGGTATGGAAACTGTGATTACACTTGGGCAAGACCCGACCCGTTTCACCAGCCTCGAACTCCGACAAGCAGACGGCGCATTCCGGCGGGTTTTCCTGTTGGGTGGTTGGGTCGTAGGAGAAGACAGGGAGCGAGGCGATGAGGGAGGCGTCGAGGCCGCGTGCGGCGGCGGGGTTGTCGGAGTCATGGTAGACGACGAGTTCGGTACGGCGGAGACGGCGGTTGCGGAGGTGGCGTCGGCGAGCGCGGAGGAGGTACCAGCGAGCGTATAAATGAAGGAAAAGCATTAGAAGAACGATGAAGAAGAGAAGGATGATAGCGGAGAGCATGATCTTGCCACTGAGACTGTATCCTCTTGCATCGAAGTCGTTGATCTTGCGTGTGGATTCGTCGTTATCCATTTGAAGAAAAGAGAGAACGAAGAATAATTAGGGAAAAAAAGTTTGGGTTAAGTTTATAGAAAAAAGAGAAGAGTGAAGCAGCTTCTAAGGATTTCTTCAATCTTTTATTATAAGACTTGAAAAAGTGACACATACGAGTTTGGTTATGCTAAATGCTTTATATAGTCAATGAGGTTAACACACGCCATTCTTGACGCGGTTTTCCTTTTTCTCTCTTCTTTGTAATTTTGTTTGCAATGTTATTAAATTCAAGTCGATGTGGTGCTGAGTTAATTGCCTATTGAAGTAATTTAGTTTAATGGTTAATATTTCAAGAGTACAATTAGGGTGAAATTTGGCTTAGTGAAAAATTTTAAAAATTGATTTAAATTCAATTCTTAATCAGGTTATATTCATAATCGATTATTCAGGCTGAGTGGGACCCAGTTTAATAATTCTGCTTTAGAACTTGGAGCTTGAGGAAATTGGGTTGCAGTTTCTCCCACACTTGCCTGTTTACGACGCGTAGATTCTTTTTTAGAATAAATATTACTTTTTTCACTTTGTTATGGTGATAATTTTATTATTAGATTCTTGTACTTATTGTCAGAACGTTATAATTAAATCTGGAATTTTGGCATGTTTAGCGTATTTGGTAGTTGAGTTATTAACTTATGCCTTTGTTTTTGTTGAAGATATGTTCGAATACTTAACGAATAAAGAATCATATAAATAAAATGAAATGGAATAAAGAAATATTAAATTTTTACTTATTTGAGATGTTAATAACATAATAAGAGTTATAACTCTATTATTGCATGGAATGGTTCTATTCATATTTCTGAAATATGGAAGAAGAAAGATAAAAAAAATATTAGATGGAATTAAAAAAAAAAATGTTATCATATGTATTTAAGTCAGATAATAATAATAATTACAATTATTTTACTTTATTCAGGTTTATATCTTTATTTTTCTTTTAATCAAAACATAACGAGATTCTAATTTAATCTTATATTATGACAAAATATTAAAAATGTATTTTTGGTTTTCTGAGGTTTTATTTTCTGAAAGTCACTTTAGATCCCAGATAATTTGAAATGAACCTGATGAATTCATTTCGGGGAACACAATTATCTCAGTAATATGTATTAGTAAATATTATTTCAATATTGTTTACATTAAAAAGATGTATTAGTAATGTTTTTTCAAAATTGTTTCTTTGTTGTTGACTATAAATATTAGCGTGTGTGTATGAAACCCGAAAAAAAAACAGGAATTGTGTGGCAAAGACATTGGTCAACAGTCAACTTGCTTACTTAATCTAATTAAATAGATCTTAGTCCAGCGTAAACGCTTACTCTCTTTTTTTGGTAAGCTAGTGTAAACGCTTACTTTTGTTTCTTAGTCTATACGTCATTTGCTTTATTACAAAGGAAAGCAAAAATAAATAAATAAAAACAAAAAACAAACAAAATTATAAACAAAAAGGAAAACAGAATTTAGATCTTTTTGGATGCACTTCTTATAGGTGATCAATTTCTTAGAGCATATAAGTATTTTTATCATAATGCTAGATTATTCTAGTTTCATTAAATAATGTTATTCATAAAACAAATTAGTAGTTCGCGTGGCTCTAGGTTAATAAAAAAATTCTTTTAGTTTTTTGCGAACTTTGTTTAGTGGATATTGATCTAGACCTATTATACGTGAGATAAGGGCCCAATTGTAAACAAGGCTCAATCCACTTCTGCGACATAGCATAAAAGCGGATCATCTCGTTGAAGAGGCACATGCATCTCGCTGGAAAATTTGGCTACTAAACCAACATAACTTAACCTAAAAAGAATCATCATTGATGAGGTCAACATCTGAAGCAAGCTAGTCATCACCAGAAACCCATGAAAGGTTAGCAGCTCTAGCTTGCTGCCATTACTACAAAATCTACTCTGAAAATAAGCTTGTCCACCAAGGAATAGCTTGAGAGAGGTCTCCCACATCCACCAATCAACATGGATACAGTCTCATGAAGGACGGTAGTAAACACGTCGCTCAAACACTATAAATACAGAGGTCATTGACCCATATATGATATCTCCCTTTGAATACTTCAACTTCCTTGAGTATTAAATTGACTTTAGCGTTGCAATGTCTTTACAGGTATCCACATTCGTTCCCAAATTGCCCAGATACACAAAGGTGATAACCAATCATCTCAGAACATGGTACACCATCTCGTCAAGTGCTCAAGTATCTCGGGAACAACTCACATAACTTTCCTTCTCTTCATCGACATCCTCTACCTTTAACTATGTGTGGTTAGATCCAGCGTGATTGATGTTGGACTCATCAGATATAATCTCTGTAAAATATTATTAGATACATATAATTGTATGGATACATTTTTTATATATTTCTTTTTTGACATTGATTAAAGAGAAGTGTACCTTAACTACTTAGAGTTTAAACCTTAGACTGACCCCATTAAGAAAATAATTTTTGGACTGGATACATACTTAAGATTACCTAGAGAGTTATTTAATTTTAGGGAAATAATACTCTCATGCTACATGAGAGTAAATCATTTTCCTACACAAATTCGTTTTCCGTGCCAATTAATTTTTATTTTCTTTTTAAATATAAAATATAGGACCCACATTTAACTTCTCTCTACTTTTTTTTCTCTCATACAATCTTACAACATAAGAAAACTTAAACCCTTAATTTTAATTGAGCGAGAAAAATAGATCCAAAATATTAACACCATTAAACAAATAATTACTAAGCAAGCTTAAAAGGTGAAAGCAAAAAAGACCACATTCTTAATCTATTTACGTTAGTTATATGCATTAATAAAGTTTGGTTCAATTGATATGATTGAACTTTGTCGATCTATAGGTTTTTAGTCCTATTGCTGCTATGACTTGTGGGATATCTCAAATTTTTTAACAGAGAAACATTATTTTTCCTTAGTTTTCTTTGACAAAAAAGTATGACATAAGTAATCATGCAAAATGTGTCAAAATTATGATTACGAGACCTGGACCGTCATATTTAATTTTATTTAGTGACTGTTTGGATCTTTTTTTTTTAAGTTAGTAGCTGCTTCTAAGCATAAGCTAGGCCAAATAAATTTTGAAAAAAGTTCTTATAGTGAAAAACTCTTTTTTCATAATGAAGAAAAAAGCTGAAAATTAAAAGCTCTTAAGAGGAGTTCTTTTTAAGCTCTTGTTTGCTTTTCTTAAATTATGTGTTTTTTTTTAAAATGAAGAGTTATAAAGATAAAGAGAGATAATTTTCTTGAAATATGTGCTTTTTTTAAGCTAAAAATTTTATGTGATTACCAAATAGCTTTTAGCTTTTTTTTATAGCTTTACCTTATAAGTAGCTTATAGTTTAAAAAAAAGAAGATTCAAATAGGCTCCTAATAGAGAAAAATAATCTTAATAAAAACAATAGCTATGTAATGAGGTTAAATAGTCAACAATTAACAACTAATATAGTCATTTATAAATTTATTTATTGTTTCATGTATCTTTATGTATAACATTTTCTTTAATATTGTTAGCCATTCGGGGAGAGTTAATGATCACGCAATCATAAGTGATGGTCATTCATAAAATTTTTGTTAACTGAACAATTTATCCAACATAAAACTTCATTTACAACTTTTAATTACGTACTATGTTACAATATGTAGCTTCTTATTAACAAACATTAGTTAGTTGTAAAAAATTTCTTAACTTCATGAATTCAATATAGTAATTCACTTACAACTGTTAAATACTCAGTATGAACAAATAATCACTCATTAACAAGTAATAGTCATATGTATTTTTATTTTTATTTTTATTTTTAAGTGCATTGATCTAATATAGAACTTTATTATATAACAAGTAATAGGTCACAACTTTTTTCCTAGGTTCATGATTAGACAGTGACACCAAATAGTCACTTATAACAAGTAATAGACATTAGCAAATTTTTCATAGTGGTATTTTTGTTTATTAAGCAAAATCTAATACTCATTATCACTAAATGATTTTCCTATGGTCCTTCTCAATAATTTAGATTCTTTTATGTCGCTTAATATTAATTATTCCACGTAAATATTTTCTACTGATCTAGAATATTAATACGAGGTCCATATTGAAAGCCTTCATTGTTAAGGAAAGACTTTTGATCAACAAAGGTTGCTACCAGCAAAATATTTCTGCAAAGCTTGTTACTAAGCCACCCACAAGAATTGATGAAGAGATATGGTTGCCTTCACCATAAAAAAAAGCATCTTCCAAACTGGTTATCTCTTCACTATAAATATAAATGTGTTAACCCAAAGGTACACATATTCTTCTACGTGAATAAATTTGTTTACACAAAATTTGACTTGAATATCGGAATGTCTTGTAAGTACATCCCGCACCTTGATCGAGTAAATACCTATGAGTTAAAGCTACATTAAACTATTTGTGTAGTCCAACCAAATAAAAATGGTTATGATCACCTACTATAGTTAAAATCTACATAACAATTCAACTATTGGTAAACAGTATAAAATTCCCTGTGGTTCAAAATTCAGTAAATTGGGTTGTTTCTAAATTTACCTAATCCTCCAAAGTAGTATAAATTAATCTCTCATTCATGAACAAAAACCCCTATATCAGAAGTCCATATGCACATTTTAATAAGTTCATAAAGTCGAATCTCTAATTTTTAAACTAGAAGAAATTTTCTTCATCTAACCTATTATTGGAAGAAGTTCCTTGTATTTTAACTAATAAAAACAAAAAAAGGGTAGCCCTTCCTATTACAGTTCCACTCTTGGCTCTAGGGTATTGGGTACCTAAATAAGGGAACAACTTGTGGGTAGGGGCGGAACCAAGAGGAATTGAACCGACAAGAATTCTACGTCAATATTTGATTGGTTCAATTCAACCAGATAAATTAATGAATTAGCGAAAAGCGAATGACACATAAAAATAAAAAATAAAAAATTGGATTATAAATATGACGGGATTATAGTCTAGTTTGGTTTTTCAAAACATTGCTTCTTCTTTGATTGGTTGTTACATTGCTGTTAAAATATCTTGAAGTTTGTTCAAATTTTCAAAGTTCTTATAATTATTTATGTGAAAGGGTTTAGAGTTACTTTG